GGGAGCTGGAATTCCCCATGTACAGAGCTGACAGGACCTGCATGGAGGGTGTCCCCCGTGGGAACTGATTTGACAAAGCAGCCAGGCAGTGGTGGGGGAATAGTTATATGTATGTGCTCTGCATCCCAGTGATTCTCAGTCTCTTCTGTATCTTTGACAAGGAGCCTCCAGAGATCCCATCACCCCTAAGTTTCACTGGTGGAAATGTGTCCCCTTAGCCCGGCATTTGGGGTTTGCTTGCCCCACATGCACCTTTGCTCACTCAGCCCATACCTGGCCCACAGAGGAGCAGCACAGAGAGGAGGAAATACCCCTCATCCTGTTTGCTCTGTGCTAGGTCTGCTTCTTGCTGCACTTCATAGGCAGTGGAAGGGGAAGGGGAAACCCACTATCCAGAAGGAGGAAGAGGAGGAGGACCCTGAAGTGTAAGTGCAGAGGAGACCCCAGGCTGCCACGGCCTCCCTGAGATCTGCCTCAAGGGTAGCAGGGGAAGGAGTTGCTAGCACTTGGGGCCTTCCTTTGGGATGATACCTTCCCACCCCTCACAAAGCAACATGTCTGTCTCCTGAGTGACTGGGGTGGGGAAGCCCCCTAAGGAGAGGTCACATGCACCCACTTGTCAAGACGCAGACCCTGGGAATGGACAGGGACTCCTGCCTCTAGGGGAGAGGCTCAGATTGAGGCACATGGATGGTGGGGCCAGGGGCATCAGGGAGTGATGGGTCATGCGCACAGGCCACATCTACCGAGATGCTTACTGCACAGTAGCTTGTTACTACTGTGTAGTAGCTTATTACTACTACACAGTAGCATTGCAGGGCATGAACCGTGATGCAACACTACTGCACAGTAGTAACGAGCTACTGAGCAATAGTAACAAGCCACTGCGCAATCAGTGTCACCAGGAAGTTATACAGGGACAATACTGCTTAGTAATGCCAGTTACAGCATGGTTATTTAGTACTTGGGTATGCAAGTACTAGTGTTGTTACTGCAGAGTCACTGTTTCATGTAGATGCGGCTGCAATGACCATGTGTGGATAGATGGATGGATGGATGGATGGGCACACAGAATCAACATGCAGTATGATTATACTTTCTCTCTCTCATTTTCTCTGCTTCTTTGTCTGTTTTGTGGACAAAGGGCAAAGTTCCCATGGGATGGGGTCAGGGATGTAACATATAGTGGGGAGTGTGTGTGTGTGACCACAACTCCCTATAGCAACTGGCTGCAGAGGTGATGAGAGGGGTCTGGAAAACAAGGGTGAGGACACATGGGGAGAATGCAGAAGGGTTCTGTGTGCTTAAGTGGATGAAGCAGACTGTGTGAAGTGAAGTCTTGTGTAATGGAAACTGCACCCCATGGCAACACTTCCTTTGCCTCTGGCATTGGAAGGGCTCTTTGCATGCAGGAGAACTGACTAATTCCTCAGTGGCCAGTGGCTTTTGAGTCCTGGTGCTGGGATGTGTTCCTCCAGAAGGGTCTCTGAAGCAGGGGCTCTCAAAAACATTTCGGGCTTAGCTCCAGTATATACAGGAATCAGTTCAGCTATCTTCCAGGACCTATGTCATTGAGGAAGATGGGGGGCACTGTCATCATGGTCCTTTCCAACCATATACAGGCAGTCATTGGACTTACGACACAGTTAGTTCCTGAAAACAGCGTCTTAAGTTGAACTCAGAACACGTTTCCCATAAGAAAGGGTGTTATAAATGGGGGATTGGTTCCTGAACCAAGGCCTAATACCCTATTTTCACCAAAAATAACCCAACATTTTGTACTCAATCTATTACAGATGAGTAATATGGCTACATTAATGTATTTATATTGTAAATCGAAATCATATTGATTTGGAAGGACTTCTTTGAAGTGACTTTGCTGGACTTTTTGAAGGGTTCTTGGCTGGAGTCTTTTCAGGAGTCTTGGCTTCAGGTTTTTCTGGAGTCCTGTCTGCTTTCTTAAAGAAAGTGTCCAAGGAAGTTTGGACAGGTGTTCTCCAGGGAGACGGGTGACGCAGCAAACTTGTTTGCTGGCGTGGCATCAGATCAAGTGTTGCAAAGTCAAAACTGAGGTCAGAAAGTTGAAACAGGGTGTCAATTTATAAATGTTGTAAGTGTGAAACGTTGTAACTCAAAACATTGTTCTGTAATCTTTGAATCCAGTCCACCCCTAGACCTCATCCTCTGATGCTGGAGAGGAGCATTGAGGACTTTCAGCCAGCCAGTCCAACCACTCTGACATCCAGTGGTTTTGGGCATTGGGTTCGAAGAGAGAACCAAGGCGGGAGTGGAAGCTCATAGGAAAGGCCTGTTTAAACAGGGATTCTTGACTGCCTTTCACTGTCCTTCACTTCCTATTGTTCTTCCTTATGGGAATGGCATAACCCAGGGATACTAGCCCCCTCACTGTGACTTCCACTGGAAAGCATCCTCTCACCACTTTTTACGAGGTCAATGGGCCACATTGTTGAGTGTGGCCAAACACCCAGAGGCCCACTGTCTTCCCAGTGACTCTCAGGGATTGGCCTTGGACCTGACACACAGAGGCACTGGCCTCCATTATGTCTAGTTAAGGCTGGTGAAGGAGTTAGGTGCTTTTCACCTAAAGAAATCAGCATGGGGGGACCTTGAGCAGGGCCCCAACAGTTGCAGCCTGCCAGATCAAAAGCCACTCAGGAAAGGCAGGTGCTGGATGTTATATATTTGTGGCTATTCGGCACTATGAACTGGTTGCCCCAGAGTCACAAAGGGTTTCTTCTGTCAAAGTAGGCTCATCAGTGGTCTCTGTGGCGTAATTGGTTAGTGCGTTTGGCTGTTAACTGAAAGGTTGGTGGTTCGAGCCCACCCAGGAATGGTGCCTTTACTTTACCAGAGAATTAGAAAAGAAGCCAATGTGGTCCCCATTTACAAAAAGGGGAGGAAGGAGGACCCAAGAAATTACAGACCAGTCAGTCTTACCTCGGTCCTTGGGAAGACCTTTGAGAAAATTATCAAGGAACACATCTGTAAGGGCCTAGCAAGGGAGATAATGTTCAGGGTTAACCAACATGGGTTCATTGAGGGCAGGTCCTGCCTGACTAAGCTGGTTTCTTTTTATGATCAGGTCACAAAGTCCTTGGATGAAAGTGTCAGGGTGGATGTCATCTTCCTGGACTTTAAGAAGGCCTTTGACACTGTTTCACACCACATTCTCTTAAAAAAACTAGGTGACTGTGGCATTGATGCCTACTCAGTCAGATGGGTGGCAAATTGGCTAGAGGGTCGCACCCAGACAGTAGTGGTGGACAGGTGATTTTCGTCCTGGAGGGATGTGGACAGTGGAGTCCCCCAGGGCTCAGTCCTGGGGCATGTGCTGTTTAACATCTTTATCAGTGATCTAGATTTGGGTATGGAATGCACGCTGTCCAAGTTCTCTGACAACACCAAGTTGTGGCGAGGTGGGCACGCTGGAGGGGAAGGACAGAATCCAGCTGGATCTAGACAGGTTACAGAGGTGGGCGGATGAGAATAGGATGGAGTTCAATGCAGACAAGTGCAAGGTGCTGCATCTCAGGAGAAGGAACCAGAAACACACCTATAGGATGGGAAACACCCTTCTTGTCAACATGGTGGTAGAAAGGGATCTTGGAGTCATTGTTGACTCCAGGATGAACATGAGCCACCAATGCGAGGAAGCAGTCAGCAAGGCTAACCACACCTTGTTGTGCATCCACAGATGCATCACAAGCAGGTCCAGGGAGGTGATCCTACCCCTCTATGCGGCATTGGTCAGACCACAGTTGGAATACTGCATCCAGTTCTGGGTGCTCCACTTCAAGAGGGATGTGGCTAACCTTGAGAGGGCCCAGAGGAGGACCACTTGTATGGTCAAGGGGCAGCGGGGCAGGCCCAACAAGGAGAGGCTAAAGGGCCTGAATCTATTCAGTCTCCACAAGAGAAGGCTGTGAGGGGATCTGGTGGCCATTTACAAACTCACCAGAGGGAACCAGCGAGAATTGGGGGAGGCTCTGTTCCCCCGGGCACCACCTGGGGTTACTAGGAATAATGGCCACAAATCATTAGAGAGATGGTTCAGGCTGGACATCAGGAAAAGTTACTTCACAGTTAGGGCTGCCTGGCTCTGGAACGGGCTCCCAAGTGAGGTGGTGCTCTCTCCTACCTTGGAGGTCTTCAAGAGGAGGTTGGACAGATATTTGGCTGGAGTGATATGATCCAGCTGGGGTGATATGACTGCAGCACCCGTTCCTGCCCAGGGCAGGGGGTCGGACCTGATGATCTGTTTAGGTCCCTTCCAAGCCTAAGAACTATGAAAGTGTGGAACTTAAGCCCTGAGGGACATGTAGGGTCAGTTTTCAGGACTTCTCATCCCCAGCTGCTCTGCAGGAGGGAAATGTGCAAGGAGACACAGGAGAGACAAAGTGAAATGGAAGAGAAGAGGCAGAGTGAGCAAGACATTGGATGGAGAGGAGCCACAGCAAGAAGGGCACAGGGGAAAGATGTTCCCTCACCAGGTCAAACATGGTTGCCACTGCATCTCTCAGCATGAGTGGGAATAGAGAAAGAGGGGCAGGTCACAACTGGCAGGAGGGAGAAGGAAGGAGTGAGCGTGAGGAGAGGAAGAGGGCAGGTGGAAAGTCAGAGAAAGACCTTAGGGCAGAGAGCTCTGTAGAGGGAAAGGAAAGCAGAAGGAACTGAGGAGGGTAGAGAGAGACAAGAGGGAGCAGAAAAGGATCAGTGGGAGGATGGAGGATGAGATCCATCAGAAGGCACAAATAAGAGATAAGGAGCACTGAGAGGAGGAGGCAGGGTTAAAGAGCAAAATGAAGGGTTGGAGGCAGCGTAAAGTCAGGAACACAGAGAAGTGCTCCCTGAGCAGAAGGGGAGAGCCATGTGGTGCATGGCTGCAGGTGTGGGGAGGGGCAGGCTAACAGAGAGTGTGTTCCCTGCTTCTTGTGGAGAGTTTTGTGCTGGGCTCTTCCAGCAGCTGAGTCAGTGTGTGCTTTTGCTTAGCACAATAATAGGTGCCTGAGTCATTCAGCCAGGCACTGTCAGCGGACAGAGACAGTTGAGAGCTCTGGTTCCTGTTGCTTTTGAAGTGACCCTGGAAATCCTTCTCCATATCCACGCTGTTCTCGTCAATGGAGAATGCCACCATCTGCAGACCTGCAGGCTCCCCTGTTGCCTGCTTGTACCAGTACATGTACTCCATCTGCGTCTTCTCCTGGGAGCAGGTCAGCTTCACCGGTTCTCGCTCCCGGACCACGGCGTACAGGGACTGGTGGACAGCACATCCTGTGGGGAAAGGGACATGGTGGAAGAGGAGTGTTCAGTGGGACATGCTGGGACATGTCACTGCAGAGAAGTTTGGGCTGGGGATGAGGAAAGACCTCCAAAAGCCGGAGGACACACAAGGCTTCAGAACCATCCCAAAGGGGATGGAGAAACCCCCAGGCCTCCTCTACTTCTCACTGCCTTGGAAAATCAAAGACTGGACACAACCCAAGAGGGGCTGGGCCCTGGGGGTGCAGGGGAAGCTAGTGGAACAGGTCTGTGCCACCTGTGCTGCCTCTGCAAAGAACAGTCTGACCTGCAGATTCACTCAGAGCCTTTTGCCTCCCTGGGCAGATAAAAGCAGGGTTCACTTACCCATGGCGGGCAGGAGGATGAGGAAGAGCCAGCAGGGAACCATTGAGGGGGGGAGCTTTGCCCAGGATCTCTGTGCCCAAGTCTTGAATGAGTCAGCCTGAGCCTCTGCCTGATGTTGCAGCTCCTGCCTGGAGGACAGGAAATGATGAGAGAAAGAGAGAGAGATAAGGGGTGGGGAGACATTTCTATATGGGTGGGGAGGGAAGCCAAGCAAGGATATTAAACAGGAGAAGAGTGTGACTAGAAGGGACTCTTGAACCGTGAGAGCAGGGAGGGGAGCTAGGTTCAAAGCACTTGTATTGGCCGCAGCAATACAAGCCTCACATGGCTGCATGTGTGATTCAAATAGCTGGCCTGTAGCATGTGTATAGCCCATTGCAAGTTATATCTAGTAAAGCATCCAGTATTAATATTCATAAATATTGGACACACACTCTCTCTCTCTCTCTCTCTCTGCATGTGTAAGTGCTGTTGTCTGGCTCTTTTCTTTGACAGAGGCAAAGGCTCTGAAGGAAAATAAAATAAAATCCATCTAATAAATTTGCATTTACGAACAGTTTATTCCTAAGCATGGGATCAGGCCTCTGAGTGTAACACATTGTTACTGCATGTGACCTCAGCTCCCTCTAGTGACTAGATGGAGAGTTGAGGCTGGGAAGACCAGTGAGGACATGTGAGGAGGGTGCAGGTGTGTCCTGTGCACACAGGACAGTTGGAGCAGAGACAGTTATCTGTGCTTACTCAGGAGCAAAGGCTTGTGCCATGGAAGGTGCACCTCATAGTTCCCCTCTCTTTGGCCTTGGTATGAGAAGGGGTGTCTAGGGAGAGATCACTCTGCACAATTGTTCTTGCAAAAAACCTGCCCAGCTTCTTCAATGCCAGCGGTTTCTGAGTCCCGGGGCTGTGCTGAGTTCCTTCCAGGGGAGAGGAGTCTCTGAATCAGAAGTACTCCTTCACAGATTGGCCCTGGCTCCAGTTCACATGGGAATCAGTCCAGCCATCACCCAGGCCTGTTTTACAGAGGAAGTCAGGGGACTTGGTGACAGACAGCAGTATTGATGTTTCAAGTTTAAATGTGTTTTTGGCAACCATGTTGCATTCTTTAAATTCCCTCATTGGCTTGTACAATGGGAAAGAATGGGTTAAGGTTACTTTGATTTAGGCCTGGGAACAGAGGTGGGGCAGTGTCTCAGCTACCCTAGACTGAGCCATCAAGAATACAATGGACCAATTTTCCTATGAAGACACTACACTACACTACAGCCCCACTGGGCTCGTGCCCCCAGTTCCTGAAGGCTCCCCACCGTCACAAGTGCCAAGGAAAAACATCAGAAGAATCACCGTGTAAAAGACTTTCTTCAAAAGGTGATGACCGAAAACTAAAGGGGAAAGAGAGCAAAGCAAGACAAGGAGAGACCAAGAGTCTTGAGAGAAAATGACTGTAGCTATCAGCTTGTCTAGGACACCAGCTGAGAGCTGGCATAGGCATTGTGGCCAAAGACCCTGCTGTATTGCTGTTGTCTAATAAATGCTGTTGTTACTTAAGAAGAACTTCCTCCAGCTCTACTGCCTGAGCCTCTGCATTCACTCTGTCCCCTTGAAGAGATACAGTCTCTCCCCAGGAGCTGAGACAGAAGATAGCTCCCTGTAGGGTCACAGATAACTGGGTTGTTCAGGGACCAAGGACCAGCAGGCCTGGTCTCAGAGCCTAATGAGCCAGGTGCTCACCCACTTTAGAAGCTACACAAGGCCTGGCTTCAAGAGGGTACTCAAGGAGACTGTGTTAAGGTTGAGAGTCCCAAGCAAGAGCCCCTATGGGGATCAATAACACATGGTCACAACAGTGACCTTGCCTTCATGTTATGTTTGAATCCATGCCCTTTCCTCTCCCTGCACAAGTCTCTACTCCCCTGCTCAGCTCCAGCTGCTGGACAGGCACATCACACTCATCCAGGATGGCAGATCAGCCACCCGCAAAACCCTCATTCCAGCTCCCAGCTGGGTGACTACTTGCCCCAGGGCCTGATCTTTGGCTTACCTCACCTGAATTATTGAGGTCTCTGCCCTCTGAGAATGCAGGACCTCTTTGGGTCCCTGGAGACAACTGGAGACCCAGTGTGGGGTGTATAGAGGAGCAGACACAGAAAGGAGAGCAATTGTGAGGCAGGAGAAGAGGGATGGCTCTTGAGAAAGGCCTTTGTGAAGCAGGGACCAAGCACCTGCCATTCAGTCCAGGCTCAGGCAGGGAGAGCAGCACTGTGGCCCACATTGAGAGGGAAGTGAACTTTGCAAACTGCTAGGATATAAGGTGGCCAGGCCTCTGAGTATAAACCTGAGTCCCTACAGTATCAGGTGTATTGGTTGCATTTAGAACAAGCCACAGACCTAAGTAGCCCCATCATGAGGGACCTCAAAACCACAAGAGGTCAATTCTGTAAAAATCTGGTAGACAAACTGCCAACCTGTTTGCCAAACTGTCCAAGTTAAGGGTCCATGGGAATATGTTCAGGACCTGCAAAGGATCAGCTTAGTTAAAAGGAAAAAAAACTAGAGTGTTGAGCTGTTCAGGCTGGTATTCTGCCTTGGTTCATACCAAGAAAAGAGCTCCTTGATCACCCAGGTGGGGAAAGAGGTAGTTGGGCCTCTGAGATCAACCCTCAGGAGTAAGAATATTGAGTCTGTAGGTAACATTCAGGGGCATCCACACAGTTCAACGTGTATGTTGTCCCTTTAGAGGTGGATGGGAAATCTGTTGAAGAGTTGTGGGGCCCTGGGACTGATATAACATTGATCCAGTAAGAAGCAGTGAACCCAGAGAAGCTGATTCCAAGTCAACATATGGCTCTTCAAGAGTTGCTTAGTGCCATCTTTGAAATGCCCATGCCAGAAATGGAGCATAAAGGGAGAGTTTCAAGAAGGGCTGAAAGAGGTTGGTGTGGCGGGCCAGTAGGGGGGCGCTCCTGCGTTGAGCCGCCCACCTCCCTGCGCCCGCCCACCTTCCAGGCTCCGAGTGCCTCCCTTGGGGTGCCTCCCATCCGGCCGACCCCTTCCCTGGAGCACACCCGCTAGCCTGGGGTTCCCGCTGCCACCATCCAAGGCTCTGGACTCACTTCTGGCTCTGTGCACCTTGGAAAACACAGGCCTGATCGTCCAATGGGTGCTAGACCCAATACAAGCACTTGGGGCACTTCCCCAAGTCAGGGGCTGATTAGGAAGCCTCCCTTAGTCCACCGACCTAAGGGGCCTCCTTGGCATAATTTAGACCCACCCCTCAATAAGTCTCCACACCAGTCACAAAGGAGAACTTTATTGATTACAGGGGTAGGGCAGAAATAGGGTAAAAGGTAGAGCAATATCAAGAAATCTTATAGGAATATCAAAGGAATCCCATAGAGCAAACCAGGGTGGCTGAGGTAGCCGTTTCAACACGCATCTGAGTTACTGAAGCTAAATATCTGATCGGATCTCTAGTAGGTTACTCACTCGCATCATCCAGAGGTGCTTGTTGTTTCCTCTGGAGGCAGGGCACTCTTGCAGCATGCGGTGATGAGGAGAGAGCCAGGTTCAGATTCACCTGGATGACCGCATGGCTAATGGCTGCCTTCTTCCTGGCCCGGGCCCTTAAATAACCTCTCTGACCTCAGCAGCCCGGTCCAACCGAAGCTGCCAATACTGGCTACAAACTGACCAATCTGCACGGCATCCCTGGCTACCTGGGCCCGCGCGCAGGGCCGGGTCTTCCCCCCCCTGCCCAGGTGACCAGAGCATCGCCTCCCAGGCGCCAGGCTTTTGTCTGCAGACAAGGAGCGAGATCCCCGCTGTGAGGGATTCAACAGCAGCCTCTCAGGCTGGCTGAGACAGATCTCTGGAGAGGGGCACCGACGGGGCATTTCTGCCACAGTTGGGATATTTGAAGAGGCACCAGCTGTTGAGACATTGGGGAATGAATTGAGAAAATGGCTTGATTGCACCCAGAATGGATGATTCCTTACTAGAAGGCAGAGCTAAAAAGAACAAGAGTCTGAGGTAGTGACTCGTAAACCAGACAGTGACAGCATTTGAGTAACAGTCCCTGCTCCAGCAGCTGAATTCCACACCAAAGTGTTGCATGACACTACTTTAGCAAAGCTGAGGGCTGAAGCTCAGCCAAGCTGACCCCCTCCAGGACAGCAAAGAAAGCCTCCTGTGGGAAAAAGGATTCCCTTACAGACCTGAAACCTGCTGTCCAGGGAGTATAGCTATGCAGCTGTTTAAAAGGATCAGAGGGTCATTGTGGGGGCTCTGAAAAGGTTTCAGAGCAGACTTTTTGGGAGACTTGTCTGTATGCACAGGCCACTCACCACTGGGTTGGCTACATATAATGAGGGATGCCAATGCCAAGCAGTTAAGATGGAGACTGGTCCTTGAGCACTAGGACATGGAGGTCATTCATGACAAGGGCAATGCAGTTCTACAAGTTTCTGATGCTTTGTCAGGAGAGGGGGTGAATGAATTTCCCCAAATCACTAGTCTCAGTGATTCTGCTCAGTTTATTGTGAAATGAGGGAGAGATGTGAGAGACCATGGTAATATTTTACAACTGATCTGCTGTGTCTGGGTTTCATGGGTTTGTGTTACAGTATGTTGCGTGCCCAGTTTCCCTGAGTTTCTTGTATTCTGGGAAATGATGGGTTAATGCTGCTCAGAAGTAGTCCTGACATTGAGTTGTAGCTTTAGTGCCTCAGCTATTAGAGTAAGGACCATGAAGAATAAAATGGATCAATTTGCACCTTTGCATTCAGACCTCAACACCTGGAGACACCTTGCTATCTCTGCAGACTGGAGGAACATCAGAGACACAGGAAGAGACCGCTCAGAGACACAAGAGGCAGGGGAGGGGAAATGAGGAAAAGGAGAGACTGGGGAAACAGCTGGGCCTGTGGGTCTGGCTGGAACTCTACCTGAGACTTTGCTTAGGCCTGGCTACAGATAGCTAGTTTACAGACCTGTGGATAAGCAGCCTGCCATAAGCTCATGGACCCTAGAAGTTGGCCCGGGCTAGCTTCAGTGAGTCTCCAAG